TATATATATATATATATATATATATATATACACACACACACACACATTTTTTTTGACATAAGTATATAGTATTTAGACACATTTGAAATGGGACCTAAAGGGTGAAATTTAAATTTCAATGAAATTAAATGAAATACAATTAAGCACACTTCCTTCACATGGGTGTACCTTGCCCCATAGACTTACATTCAGGTTTATTATTGTTAAAGGGGCAAAACACAACTATTTTCTGTTGTGATCACATTTTATTGAATCTAGTACACACTTTTACACAACCTTGGAAAGCTTTTTTCTCTGCTTTTAGGTCATTATTTGCACATTGAGGCATCAGTGATGCTGGCCGGTCACAAAGCGCGTCTCCTCTCCAGCTCTCTGCGCGGCTCTAGAGAAACACAGTGCTTGCAGTTCTACTACCACATGTACGGCTCAGGGATCGGACAGCTGAGCGTTTACCTCCAGACTGGACAAGAGAACCAGGACAAACTACTGTGGACGAGCCCTGGAGAGCAGGGCATCTCCTGGCTCAGAGCGTCAGTGAACTACCAATGTGACCAACAGCACCAGGTTAGTTGCATGAAGCTGCATTATAATCAACATTCACTCAGCATGATTTTCATTAATATATTACATCTATTTCTCCACATACTTAGATTGTGTGTGAAGCCACTAGAGGAGCATCAGTAAGGAGTGATATTGCAATCGATGATGTTGTTTTTGAAAGAGGACCATGCAGAGGTATTCATGATAAGTTGATTATCATACACATCTGTTATTCACGTTACCGTGAACAACTTTACATACTATTTGTGTTTTTATCCACACAGAATATGCTGATGACCATATCCCTCATCTGCGGCTCTCTGGAAATAATAATGATATTCAGTCAAGGAATTTTAAATAGAAAAGACAGAAAGAGAAAAAAGCTGGGAAACTGAAACCATGTGACCGTACAGCTGGAGTGCAGTGATCTGTGAGGATGAAAGCGAAGGAGATGACTGCATTGTGAGCAGAAATGATCACTAAAAACGTTCCTTGTGTATTTGACTTTTGAACACCTGGTTCATTCCTGATATACAGTTTCTCATGTGTGTATCATATGGCTTAATATATTGAATAAATGGTTAAAGATGGAAACCATATTAGGTCACATTAGAAAGCCTCTATATATACTTCAGGACATCAGCATGTAGATCTGGTGATTTTTTTTTAATGTCAAATAAAACTGAAAATTGCAGAGACTTCTATTTTATGCAAATAGCTTCTTTTTTTATTTTTTTTTTACTTTAAATCTTTAGCCCTTCATTATTTTTAAGGGTGTGTAATATGTCATGTCTAACATTTTTAAATGTAACAAGCATTCCTGATTATCCTATTCTTTTGGGAGGGTGACTGACTGACTGACATTAGCTTGGTTATTACACAGCTACTAAATAAATATATAAAAATACAGTAAATGGATGTGAAATATTGATATGTGTTGAAATGATTTTATTATGTGAGAAGAAAGAGAGTGCAAAGTGATGTGAGAGACATGAAACCAACACAAAATCAACGGAGAAAATAGATAAAATGTCAAATAGGCTAACTATATGATGTATTATGCATTTTGTAAAACGAAAGTGATGTGTGTGTGTATGCATGTACACTCTAAAAAATTACCCTTAAAAAGGGACAAACCCAGCGGTTGGGTTGTTTTGACCCAGCTATTAGGTTGTTTTGACCCAGCGGTTGGGTTGTTTTGACCCAGCTATTAGGTTGTTTTG